CTTTTTCTTTTTTTTTTTTTTTTTTTTTTTTTTTTTAGTGTAGGCACCACACCCTACCTGGGGCTTGAACTCATGACCCTGAGATCAAGAGTCACACGCTCCACTGAGCTAACCAGATGCCCCTAGAGGAATTTTCAAAAACAACTGGAATCATTGTGTAGATATATTACCTGTAGCATGTGGGTAACCAATAGTTATAAATAAGGAACACAATTTTGATGGAGTTCAGAGATGTGGGGGAGAGACCAGAGTCTCTCCTGTGCATCCCTACCTTTGAGTCCGTGCTGACTCAGCATAGTCTAGGCTGACTCAGCGTACTCATGCACTTACCCCAATCCCAGGAAATTGAGCATGTTCTCAGATGATTGAGCACAACCCAAGCTGACTTAGCACATTCTGTGACTCATGTCCAATAATCAAACAAAAGCAACATTGTCTCTAGGCTGTGGTTGTTTTCAATTTTCAAGCTAGGTATCTGGTGCTTTCAGGGTTCTACTCCAGTTACAAATCTAAAGTTGGAGAACATTCCTAATTGGAGACAAACATTCGCAATGACTAGAAGTAAAATTTTTATTAAAATGGGGTATGGAAAACAATTACAATTATGCTTGTGTTGCATAGCTCTCACTTTTAAGGAGCAATAAGGTTAGAACCTCAATAACTCATCCAGATCAGTCCCACTTCATAGATCAAGCAACCAAGGCTAAAACAGGGTATCTAGGAAGCACACATTTAAAAAATTCTATGATACTTCATATGGAAAACCCAAAAGATTCCACCAAAAAGCTGCTAGAACTGATTCATGAATTCAGCAAAGTTGCAGGATATAAAATCAATGCACAGAAATTGGTTGCATTCCTATACACCAACAATGAAGCAACAGAAGGAGAAATCAAGGAGTTGATCCCATTTACAATTACACCAAAAAACATAAAATACCTAGAAATAAATCTAACCAAAGAGGTGAAAAATCTATACACTGAACACTACAGAAAGCTTATGAAAGAAATTGAGGAGGACAAAAAAAAAAAAAAGGAAAAATATTCCATGCTCCTGTGTAGGAAGAATAAATATTGTTAAAATGTCAATACTA